AGGAGGATAATTTGTGGTCGAGATGAACCGGCGGTTTATTTAGACCGTTGTCAGGATAAGCACATGGACTCACCACACCTACAAAATACATAGGGACACCTTAACAAATTTTAAATGATGTAATAACATCAAATCATTATGGGTATTTTAGACGAAACAAATTTTAAACTCACTGAAAGACCATCACGTAAAATTTTTAACTTCACAATTATATATAAACAGTGACACCTCATCTAACTAATAATCTATTACAACATATATTCTTTTACATTACTAATTTTGTTAAACTATAGTTATGTTATGTCAAATTTTGGTTACCGCTTATAAGTTATGATAACCAGAAATATTATTTGAATATATTAACAGAAACCCCAAAAAAATCAGAAATACGATCATATATGTATAGTTTCGAATTTTATTATTACGAGAGTAATCACATAAGAAATGTGATTTTGTAGGTTATGTTAGCTTGTTGTTATCTTCACCATTTAGCCATGAGACATCATTGTTTTATTGAAATGGCTAAATCTATCTTATATACCAAACTCTATAGATACATTATCATTAAGCTTGTAAATAAGCATGCATATAATGTACGTATACATATCCGTGAAATACGGGTAAAGATACAGACATCTAGTACATATCATGATATACATAGCTTGGAAATATACATCCAATGCACCATGAATATGTGTAGATGCATCATAATGAGTGTGGTGCGTTTTCATGAAAAAAGAAGATTGGGTTGGGTAAATATTCGGCTGCAATACACTATTTGCCAAAAAGGAAAGACAATGTTTAAGCCAAAAGAAAAAAGGACTGATCAATCATGGTTGCTTCGTTGCTTTGTTGTCTTTTTGGGTGTAACACGATGTCCTACCCACGTGCTGTTTTCTTGTAGTCCTAAATACCAATTTTCGTAATTTTGTTTCGTTCGTTTTTTAATTTATTACTCTCAAACTCCATTAATAACCAACCAAGTAACCTTATATGGCCACATACCAAATTTCCTCGTAAATTCCCTTTTTTAACGGTGTATAAGTATAATAATACTCGGAAGCTGTGTTCTCGATTGCAAGTTTTATGGTAATCCGAACCATACACATCATAACATAAAAAAAACTTTCATATACAAACAATTTTTTGTATCAAACTTTTTCCTTAACGTATAGTATAGAAAAAGCACGAGGCAATTAGACACCGTATTTTTGTTTTGTATGAATTTGAGCTTTTGATTAGTATACTGTAGATTATAACAGTAGTTTAGGTTCTACAAGGTTTTGCCATTCACACTATATAGTGTGAAAATCTCACAATATACATATTTGACCATATATTCGCACCATTTTGCCAAGTATTCGAGAAAACAAACAAATGTTTATCAAGCAATTGTGTTTAAACGTATTTATTTAATTTATATTATTTTTGTTTTGTTCCATAATACTATCTATATCGAAATCAAGATTTATACATTTGCGAGTTATTTATTAATTCTTGGTTTAGGCCATTGCATTTAACTTTTACGAAGAGAAAAAAGGGGAAGGTCGTACTTTGTTTGGACTTTGGTATATATGAGAATAAAAAATCCCACGATTCCAAGCCGTCCAATCCACGGATGAGAAGACACGTGGCACAACCTTACGTACACAAAACCGACCAAGCCACCCAAACACTTGTCACCTTCAGTCCAATTTTAATCATTTTTTTCTTCTTTCTTTTTCAATATTTTTCTCATTTACTCTGGATACAATTATTGCATGCCCACTCCCAATATTCCCGTTGCGTTACTGTCCCCACTTCCACCTCCCTTGGATTATTTTAATCTTGAGAATTTTTGTTTTCAATGTTTTCTAATAACAATTCCTCTTGGGCACTACCCATATTTAAGCTCGGATCATAAGTTTATAACACCGCGATACATACATAACCACTAATCTACAATTTCCGGTTTCAACAAAATAGTTTACTGATTAAAAGAAAAGATATCATGGAGAAAATTAACGATTGGACTTCAAATTTTGTTTATATCTATTAGGGAAATTGGCACAAAT